GAGAAATGAAATGAGGTAATGGGTTGTATCAGATGAGGACTCAGAGCCTTTGGAAGGAAAACAGATAATCAAGCAGTGAGTGTGGAGTGTTGGGGAGTAGACTAGGAATGGCCCAGGACTGGGGGTGGGGGACTTGGAACTTTGGTCGTGGTTAAGATGCAATAATTATCAAAACCATGAGAATTAACACTTTAGCCACGTTACTTAAAAAAGAGAGAAGAAAGAGAGAAGGCAGGCAGGGAGGGAGGGAAAGAAAGAAGAAAAAGGAGAAAGGAAGGAAGGAAGGAATGAAGGAAGGAAGGAAGGAAGGAAAGATAGAAAGAAGGAAGAAAGGAAGGAAATATAGAAATAAGGAAGGAAAGATAGAAAGGAAAGGAAGAAAAGAAAAAAGAAAGAAAAGAAAAAAGAACGGAAAGGATAGAAAGAAAGAAAGAAAGAAGGGAAGGAAGGAAGGAAGAAAATAAGGAAGGAATGAAAGAAAGAAAGAAAAAAGAAAGAAAGAAAGAAAGAAAGAAAGACAGTAAGGGAGGAAGAAAAGAAGTAAGGAAAGAAAGAAAGAAAGGAAGAGAGAAAGAAATAGAGAAAGAAGAGAAGAGAAGAGAAGGAAGGAAGGAAGGAAGGAAGGAAGGAAGGGAGGAAGGAAGGAAGAGAGGGAGGGGAGGAAGGAGGGAGGAAAAGAGGGAGGGAGAGAAACATGAGTATTCTCCACCGAGGGCTCATAGGAAGTCCAAGAGGGCCACAGGACATGTGAGCTAGGAAGGGCACAGGTGTCACTCTGGTTAGCACTGGTAGTACCTTTAACAAAATTCTGCCTGGTCTGAATGCCTAGGCTCTCCTCACATCCTCCAGGCAGCCTCTCTCTGTTCTCTTCAGAACCTTATTTTTTACCTCAACTGGCCAGCAGATGAGTAGTCCAGGCCACTCGTTTTCTGGAAACTGTGTATCAAGAGGAAGGCTAGACCGTGGCCACTCTATGCTCATGGGACCAAGGCGAAGCTACCAGAACCATCATTTCTATGTTTCAGGAGAAGCAGCCCAACTAAGCAAGCTCAAAGGCCCCTGGGAGCCAGGCTCAGCACCACAGTCCTCTCAGATTCCTCCTGAAAATCGAAGAACTGTTACGGGGCCGGAGAGACAGGATGGAGGTGAGGAACTTGCCCTGCATGAGGCCAACCCCAGTTTGGTTCCCCTGAGCACTGCCAGGAGTGACGCTGGGTCTAAGTCCTGGACAGTGGGCAGTGGGGGGCATATCACAATCCCAAACCATCCTCTCTGCATCCCCCCCAAAAAAGAGACTTTTAATGGGAGTCATTTTTACTGAATTCCTTTTTCCACTCAAGTTACCATCCCTTTTCTTTGCTTAGCTTTCAAAGAAGAATGGAAATAACTCTCTCTTTCCAGTAGGCTTTCAACACTGAGATGAAGCCAGGAAAGTTTCGCTCATGTGACAAGACTTGGGGCTTTGCATCACCCCTGAGGAAACAGGGTCAAGCAGCTCCCCCGTGACGTTAGACGGAAGAGCGGGTGCCATGTTTGATCCTAGAAGCCTGTTGAAAAATGGCCTTTTAAAGATGGAAGTGGGTCTGGTTAGCGAGAAGGAGAGCAGAATAAAGAATTATTTGGATGTGAAGGAAATAAAAGACTTTAAAACAACTGAAGGAAAGATGTGTCAGAGGGAAAGGTGAATAAAATATTAGGGAAATAAAAGGAGTGGAGATGACCATTAGTAATGGTTAAAGGAGAAAAGATAAGTCACAAAGAATTGAGGAGAAAGATAAAAAAGGATAAAAGGAGGTATTACTGTCTGAACACAGAGAGCCAGACACCGTGGACAGAATAAACATTCCCTGCAACCCAGTAAAGCCCATCGCAGAGCTAGGTGAATATAAGTCTGCCGTCTGAGCAGATAAACTGTGTCTGTCAGGCAGAGACAACACCTTCCGACAACTTTATAGAATAAAGAAAGAATACAGACATCAATTGATTGATTGCTATGTATCTATGCCTGTGCAAGACAAAAATTCACAGTGATTTGAAACCAAAGCTCTTAAATGCTGCAGAGATAAAGAGAAATGGAAAGCCAAAATGTAATGAAGGCAGCCCGGGATAACATTTCCAGGCTTCTAACCTCACTTATGCCTGAGACAAGGGCATTAGTTTCAATGTCAGTCAAGTATCTCCGCTCGTTTTCTGATCTTGCTATTTGACCTCAAATAGCTAAGTATTTAAATTTTTTCTGCTCTGATTGATTGATTACTTTCCTTTCTCGTCCAGACGTTGGCCTATGTCAATGTGGTCTTCATTTTGCAAGCTCCACCACTCACTGGGGATGTGGTTAGTCACATTTTTCATGGTTAGGAGGGACGGTCTTATGTTGAACCACTGAACCCTACAGAAATTCATGATGGAAACTGAGACTAAGAGTGGGAGAATAAGAGAGAAAGAAAGGGGGTAGGATTAGGGACGTGAAAAAATGCTTTTGAAAATAGTAATTGTTAAGGGATAAAAATCTACCCCATTTTTGTTTCGTTTTTGAAAAAAATTTCTTGCAAGTCGAATAGAGCAGTCCATTTTTAATAGCAATATTTTGCAAATACAGATTTTTTCCCTAACTATAGTTAATGGAGAATCTCAAAGCTTCCTTTTCCATTGAGGCACAGTTAACCTTCTTTTCGGGGTTTATGCTCACAATAATCTATGTTCATTGCTTTGGGATCACCTCAAAAGTGCATGAGCAGAAATGTTCTTTGTAATTTTTGATCTTGCTACTAAATACAGATACTCTCATTTCACAGAGGGGGCCAAGTCAGCTATTGCTGACCCAACAATTCACAGACAAACTCACATCTGAAAATTTAAATGTCCTCGATTCCCATATCATTGACTTTTCCTTAATGTGCTATCATTGATAATCAACCTAGTTTCATTTAGCATTTACTAGCTTACACAGAACCAACAACCATAACCCACTTAATTACTTTAGGGGATTTAAAAAAAAAACAGAGACACACACAAAACTGTGATATTGGAATGTACAGTATGGTCTAGTTTAAATTAAAAAGATCCCCCAAAGTATGATTGTTTCCAGCTTCTCGGCAGTGAATTAAAAGCTGTTTGGTGTCATGAAGATTACAGAAGCAATCACATTTACGGGCCTGTTTTGCATACCAACTCTATTAATTTCCATACTCAGGCTTCACATTGCTACGCGTGTTAATATAGATGCCATTTGGGAGAAAGAAAAGAGAGAACCAGGGGGGAGAAAGAGGAAGAGTAAGGAAAGAGAGAGAGAAGGGAAACCAGAAAAATGGTTCTCCTGTAGACCACATCTGAAACGTATCAGTTCTTGGAAACAGGAGAATCCAAAGACAAATGGGGGTTCCTGGAGGCCTGACCCAGGTGTCTCACTCAGAGAGCAGAGAAACATGAGACCACATATTGGAATTCAGTTTTCGTGCCAGACCTGCACCTTGTATTACAGACTCTAATTATTGCAATGATTTCATTGGCGTAATTGTGTCAAGATGTGCACAGGCCTCACCTTGGATATCTCCCTGGATACTCAACATTGCATCTTCATTATTGTGTTCCTTTCAGCCCTTGAAATATGTCCTGGCCTCAAAGAACAATCCAATCAAGGAGGCTAGTTTTGCTTCTCCCTTTCTTTATACATGCCAGACACAGAGGATGGAGTTGAAGGAAAGAGGCGAGCCCAGAAGCAACCCTGAGACGGGAAGGGCAAATGTGCAATTATCTTCCCAAACGGAACTTCGGAGCAGCTGACCAGAGCGAGCTACTTTTTTTCAGGGACTTTAGTCCCACATGCGAAGGAACAGTGCTCAGGAGCCTACAATTAAGAGGTTAGATGCAAACCATCAATTTTAAATTCAATTTTGCTAACACTATGCTTGTTGTACATTTGGCAATGTACTCCATCGCCCCCTACGGATAAAGTAATGTAGTATTGGCAGAAAATAGGGGAAGTGATTAGAGCCATAGATATGAGGGGAGCATATTTGAAGAAATCCATCACAATCTGGGGAGATTTGTGTTTAATCCAAAGAATCCTCTGTAGGATCTCTGGGTATTTTTTGAAGACCACTTTGCTAGCCTTATGGGTTTTATCCTCTGCCTAAAACCTTCACAGGTCAAGTCTGTGTTCTCAGCTATGTCCGACCTCCTGAGGTCAATGGGATATGGAATAGATAAGTACCCCAGCAAGACCACTGCTCACCAACTAGAACTCTGCCTGAGGTGCCCAGTGCTTCCTGCCCTCACTCAGAGCAGTTCTTGGATTGAAAACTGATGATTCTCTTTACTGGGAGTGTATAGGAAATGCTCATAAAAAGATACATACAGGGGGAAATGGGCACTGGTGGAGGGATGGGTATTTGATCATTGTATAATTGAAACCCAAGCACAAAAATTTGTGAGTCTACAACTGTACCTCATGGGAGCAGAGCAATAGCACAGCAGGTAGGGCGTTTGCCTTGACTCTTAGACTCAGCAGACCTGGGTTCGATTTCTCCATCCCTCTTGGAGAACCCGACAAGCTACCACGAGTATCCCACCCGCACAGCAGAGCCTGGTGTCTCACTAATAAAAATTTAAAAAAAGATACATACAGGGGCCGGAGCAATAACACAGCGGAAAGGGTGTTTGCCTTGCATGCGGCCGACCCAGGTTCGATTTCCAGCATCCCATATGGTCTCCCGAGCACTGTCAGGAGTAATTCCTGAGTGCAAAGCCAGGAGTAACCCCTGAGCATTGCCGAGTGTGACCCAAAAAGGAAAAAAATAAAGATACAAACAATCATACAATTGATTGCCCTCAAAGCTGGCATGAACCCTATTCAGGACCTTTCACCCTGGACCAAAGAGCAACATAAGAATGATCAGGAAGTATTTAGCAGAGGGAATATGACATGTGGTTCCAAGACGCATTCTTAGACACTGGAGAACTCAACAAAAGCAGCCGAGAGCATCAGCGCCATTACTTACAGTTGAGAATCCACTGGTCCTCAATGAACTCAGCTGGCTGTTCGATGTGGAACACTTTCTGCTCAAAGCCCGGCGTACACTCCAAACCGCCTGCAGATGTTAGCAGCAGCACCTGAGAAAACCAAAGTCATCAATATTTTAACAGCAGTGTGTGTGTGTGTTTGCCTGACTCACTTTTACCAAATCTGTGACTTTCAGCAGCGAACCGACATTTTAATTCTATTTCCCGAGTGAAGAGGTAAGTTGATACTTTTCCCGTGGCTGCCAACGATTCGTTTGGGCAATGAGATTTGGAAAGTGCACCGACAGGAACAGCTGGTGCAGATTCCACTCCGTGGCAGTTAGAGAAATAACTTCGTCAGATTTTTACACCTGCTAAGAATCGCACCATGGTTTCCACGTGTGAAATTTCATTACAGAAACTGTCAGCTGCATGTAATGCCTGAGCGCCAACCACTTCACTTTCATTGATGCACAGGAACCCTGTCATCTCTGAAGATAAGAGAAAAGGAAACGAGATCCTTCCAGGTGAAGCTTCTGGGAGGGATCTTGGGCTTGCTGGACAATCTCAGTCGTCCAGCAGGGTGGCCGGACGCCACACTGGGCGACTGAGCACTTGGCAGGGCAGCTGGGTGGAAGTGAGGGAAATGAGTGAAATTGCTAAGCTGGGACAAAATACACGTGGACTCTTCACGCCTAAATTCTAAAATGAAAATGTCCAACTAGCTAATATCGATTATGTGATGAAACAGATCCTCCATCTTCCAGTAGGCAGGGGTCACACCCACCAACTGACCCGCTGGTGCCATGTAATCCCATCAATGGCCAAGACCCAGACACTATAAAACCCAGCTTCGGACATCTTATTGTCTCATTCCTACTTTGGACAACTTGGCAGGCTACCGAATGTAACCTGCCCACACGGCAGAGTCTGACAAACTCCCTGTGGTGTATACCCAATATGCCAAATACCAGTAACAATGATAGGTCTCATTCTCCTAACCCTGAAAGACCCTTGAATATGGCACTTTAAAATCTCAGGGCTAGGATGAAGGAGATGTTACTGGTGCCTGCTCAAGGCAATCGACGAACAACAGGATGATCGTGGTCGTGATCGTGATGAAATGCTAGTATTTTACAAAGTGGATTACAAGTTTTACATATATGTATCATTACAATTAATTCCCCAGGGCCAGAGGAATAACGGGCTGGAGTGATAACACAGCGGGTAGGGCGTTTGCCTTGCACATGGCCGACATGGCCGACCCGAGTTCAATTCCTCCGCCCCTTTCGGAGAGCCCGGCAAGCTACCGAGAATATCTCGCCCGCACGGCAAGGCCTGGCAAGCTCCCCATGACGTGTTCGGTATGCCAAACACAGTAACAATTGTCACAATGGAGACATTACTGGGCCTGCTCGAGCAAATCGATGAACAACGGGAGGACAGTGACAAAGGAATAACACAGGGCTCAAGGTGCTCTCCTTGCATATGGCTGACCCCAGTTTAGTTCCTGCCTCCACATATGGTCCCGTGAGCACTGTCAGGAGTGAGCTCTGAGCACTGTTTTTTGTGGCCCTAACCCTCTACCCCCAAATTAATTCCCCACTTTTGAAACTTTAATAGGTTTGAAAGTTAAAAGTTCTCAGTTGCTTCCAGAAGCTCATCATTGTCCTTACAAATCCCTGAAGCACTTTACCCAGGAGTCAACTACTGGAGTTGACACATTCCTGGGTGAGGAAAGTTCAGGAAGGTGAAGGCACCAAGTCTTAGGAATCCAGGGATCACTCTTGTCCCCTCAGTGGTTTTTGAAGGCACCCGGGCTTCTCCGGCTTACCCCTCCTTTGAGGAACACTGGTTTACTGTATGTGGAGTACCAAATCACACTCGGCTCAAGGAGTGTTCACATTGCTCAGCCTGACCTGTGCTGTCTCAGAAGCATGATCTCCACAACTCCGCACAACATCCCCCTGACACATCTCCACAGGGGCGCTAGGCTGCAATTTCTGTTAATGAAACTCGAATGTGAGCCACCGGTGGTACACGCACGGAGCAACACAGCCCTGACATTCTCGGAAGGCTAACACACTTCCCCAGAGGAGGGGGGCCCGGTGAGCGGGGCCTGAGCGTGGGTCTGAGCCTTCTTTGATTAGACACAGTCAAGCTCCGCCCACGCCTTGGTATAGTTCGTTCTCAGTGTTGCAAACGTGTGCTGACCATCTAGTCAGTTGCAAGCATCTTCTATATTATTCTTTGGTGGTGCTTGCATTGAGCCCCAGGCCTCACCCCTGCAAGGCATGTCCTCTCCCACCCAGCCTCACCCCTGGGCCCTGGGGTGATTATTGCCTGGCGGGATGCATCACTGAGCATGGTAGCAGGAGAGTGTGTAGAAGTCGCCCTCCCCGCAGCAGCCCATCATGCCAGCGAGGTCACCCTCTTGCCTCTCTTCTCAGAGATCATTCTGAGGCAAGAGCTCCACTTTCCTATTTCCACTTGGCTCCTGGCATTCACGGCGTTATTCGGCTTGATAATGCACCTTCCACCAACGGCCTCATTGCCTCATGACGTGTCGGTGTTTTTATGACACTACCCTCCCAGCCAAACTATTTCCACTCAAATCCTTGACTCAGGGCCCACTTTGGGGGACGCGAGATTTTGATATCCCAATGCAAACTCTTAACCACTGCACACAGGCTGTTGAAGAAAACTCATTATCGTCCCCACTCCAGGGAGAGGACAAAAGGTTGGGAGCGGTGGCATTCTGGCTTCTCTCTAAATACCAGCCTTCTGAAATGCACTGAACCCCGAGGAACGAGAGAGCAGAAATCAATCTCCAGAGGTTCACGGTGTGGCTGGCCCGCGAAGCATCAGAGAAATTGAAGTGGGGAGTTGTTAGCCTACCCTGCCCCATCCTTTGGAATCCAAGGGAGGTGGGTGCCATAGTCCCTATTCTGAGCAGCTCTACTGGTAATAAAAATTTAAAAAAAATAAATAAAAGTAGACAACTACAATAAAATAAAATAAAATAATGGTGGTGGGAAGGTATAATGGTGGTGGGATTGGTGTTGAAATATTGAATGTAATCAATTATTGTGAACAATTTTACAACAACAAAAAATTTGCCCCTGTCCTGAGAGCAGGTCCTGGTCTCCTGGCTCCTGGGGCACCCGGGACACTGACACCCCAAGAGTTGCGAACAGAATGCAGATTCAGAACTCAGGATAATTTGCTGGCAATTTTGCAAGAAAAAAAAGCACTAGAAGGAGCCAACGCTAATTCCACTAAACAGCAACCGGTCAAAGGTCACCCTCAGGCAGCCTCTGCCTACAATTTTGTATTAACCTTTTCCAGCTTATTCTGCCCTGACATCACAGAGCAGTAACTCAGCCTTCCTGTAGGTACCAAGGGAAATGACAGTGATCCAAGGACCCTGAGTAAGAATCCAGAGTGAATTAAGTGTAAGCTTCAGCTGAATTTCCTTTTCTCTTTCTGCAGCTTCATTTCCATCCTGATTGTTTGCCAGGAACTACCAGGGGTCTCTGAGTCATAGAGAAAAAGTAAACCTTCCCCCTTGCTCACCCAGGGCTGGTGGGAGGACCAAGAGGCTTGATTTTGAGAAGTCTTGGGCCACTTCATCCAACAATAAAAATTCAGGTTGAAAGCTTTATAGGGTATGGAACAGGTGCACTATTTTAGACAAGATAGGATTCAGCAAGTCTGAACTGGTGTTGATTGGTTCGTTCCCTGCATTCATTCATTCAGTTACTCACAAGTCTTGTCCAGCTGGAGGGTTCCACATGGACCCTGATCGGTAGCTGTCCTGGTGCTTATAGAGAACCCCACAATGGGGTAATAAAAGCACAGGCTCCAGAGATGTTTTCCTTGGTTCTGATCTCTGTTGCCTTTAGCCACTGCAGATTGCCATTTTTCATGACTGCTGTGTTTCTTGGTTTCCTCATCTAGTAAACCATGGGAACGAAGATGTCCCTTGCAGAGACTGTACATATTCAGTGTCAACACAATGGAACCGTGTTGCACAGGAGAAGTGGCCAGTCATGTGCACATGACTACGGACTTAGGAGAAATGAGAGACATCAACAAATGATAATGAAACAGATGAACTATATTTAAGTTTTATTTTTTTTCATTGAATCACCGTGAAACACAGTTACAAAGCTTCCACGATTGAGTTTCAGTCGTACAATGATCGAATACCCATCCCTCCACCAGTGCACATTTCCCAACACCAGTGTCCCTAGTATCCCTCCCGCCATCCCCACTCCATCCCAACCCTTGCATTTATGGCAGGCACTTCTCTTCTGATTCTCTCTCTACTTATGGGCATTACGGATTGCAATACAAATATACTGAAAGGCCATCACGTTTAGTCCTTTTTCTATTTTCAGCACACATCTCCCTCCCGAGCGAGCCCTCCAACCATCATTACCTTAGTGATCCCTTCTCTAACGAGCTGCCTTCTCCCCCAGCTCATGAGTCAGGCTTCCAACTGTGGAGCAATGCTCCTGGTCCTTATCTCTACTGTCCTTGGGTGTTGTTCCACATACTATGTCATTTTATATTCCACAAATGAGTGCAGTCATTCTATGCCTGTCCCGCTCCTTATGACTCATTTCACTTAGCCTGATCCAAGTTAAAATTTAAGTTTTAACTTGGAATGGCACTCTACGCCTCTATGTATAAAATACCGAGTGAGGAGAGGGTGACTAAGTGCATTATGAGGATCAGGGAAACCAACCCACTAGATCAAAGTGGAAAGATGGGTCAGAATTAATTGGGTACTTGTCTTTTTAACCTACACGTTCTGCCTTTGCATAAATTCCTTCGCACCTCTTTGGGTTTCATGTAATGAAAAGTTTCATGTGTGCAATGATACGGATGCATTAACGAAGAATCCAGACTACCTTAGGGGTCCCCAAGGCTGAATGTCTTACTCAGAGTAGTGGACAAATGTTCTAACTACTACCATTACCGCTTGACTTTTCAGCAGAATTCAAATTGTGAATTATATCTGTGAATGAACCTGTCACAAATACCCCCTTTCAATGTCAGCTGTATAGAGTTTGGGAGTGTCTTAGGAAGAAGGAGTTCCCAGT